CATTCATTGACGGTCGCGCACTTTTGGTAGGCGTTATGGTGGAAACATTCGCATGCTTCCGCATTCAGTCACCACCTGCTACGATGCCGAGGGAGCTTTTGTTCATTGTTTGTAGGACAGATGACAGATATCGTCTATGTCGACGGGCTCAACGAGGTGACATCGTCGCGAGCAAGGTTCGGAATGGCCTCGTGATACGCAACTGGAATAGACCAGACGGTCATTTGCCACAGCCTCTCGGACCGGTACGCCGTTAGATACCCTTTGCCATATCTAAATTGGAATTCCAAGTCATGGCGCAGAGCAAATGCCATTCAAGTCCACAATATCATCTCCTCAAACCGAACCACTCATGTAGATTCTGTCCACGTCCCTCCATCTCTGTCCAATTTGCAAATTCCAGTTCAAACTTCTCGCCCGCTACACATCCTTTTTTTTTTTTCTTTTTTCGCTCTCAGCTGCAAATTCATCTCGCTAGATCCTAGTTCGATCCTGCTATCATAATCCATCCGCTGGACTGCGGACGCATGTAAAATCCACAGATTTCTCATCTTGCGGGTCATAGATTGCCACCGATGCATCCGACGGTGATTGATTCTAGCATCAAGTTTCCTCCCGGACCTCAGAACTTGTGGCTCGGCTTGCCTAGAGACACGATGCCCCAGCCGACGCACATCCACTTAAATTAATTATTGCATGTTCCCCGCACTAGTGAATATGCTTTTGTCGCTATTTATTAATGCCAAATCGCAGTATCGGCTGTCAAATGTTTGGAGCAAGCCTTGGCCATTTCCCGCACCAACCCTCAAGAGTCTCATCCACTTATTCGGATGTTTCTGCAGGCAATGACAGACAGAGACACTCAAACATGGCTCCCGGTGATCAGACAGCTCATTTTGGCGAGCGTGCATCAGAGTTCCCAGCACGGTGGTCTCGCGAGCGCGACTCAATATCACCTCACGCCAAGAACTCAAACTTGGGTGGTGAGCGTCGTGATATGTCATCCGCTATGGTATTTCTGCTGTTGCGAGAAATGGAATCGAGAGGAAACTGCCATGAGAAAGTCCGCGCCGCCCAAAACCATAGCCATTCGTCCGAGTGTAAACCATTACCTGATCAAAATCGATGACGGAATGTTCAGCAATAGAGACTATGCTTATTGTCCCGCAAGCCGGGTTCTCTGTGTCTTTGATGGGCAAATTGAATTCTATTCTACAGTTTCGCTCGGGAAAGGTCCACGAAAGATTTGTTGAGAATCCGAGGAGCTTGCCCGAACTTTGCACACCCACGGTGTGGCAACCGCATGGTCAAACTCACCTTACAATATCTCTCTCTCATCTGAAGCTTGATATATTAGTCGCGTCAGAACCCACATACACGAGCGAAACGCCATGCAGATGCCCGTGACCAGCGCCGGATAAGAGACTCGGGTAGTTTGAGACAAGGTATTCAAGATGCTGTTTGGAAACCTATGAACACCCGTGCTGCCATGCACATAGTTGCGTCATCTACCTAGAAGACAGATGAGATTTCCCCGCGCTCTGACAGGCCATTAACGATCACGCTACGATCTTACATGTCAGGGGTAACTATGAATAATAGCACCAGTCGGACTTTGGATCACTGTGTTAATCGTTCTGTCATTCATCCAGGTAACTAGTATAGACCGTCCAGATCTTGCATGGAATACTAAAAATATCGAGCATCAGCATTGGAAGACATTGGGAACACAGCTGAAGTCTAGCTCACGCCTAAAACGATCAGGTCTTCACCGTTTCTTTGCCCTCATTTATATGCTCTACTGATGCTTACAACCAATATCTGAGACTAAAAGTTCAATACAAACCTACATATACCCCTATACTGATTTGAGACGCGCCAGTTACTAAAAATGCCCGATATCGATCTCCTCGTGTATGTTTGGGCCCACTCTATCCTCTCGCCGACCACACTATCGGATATGCTGCGCGAGCCCAGTATCCACATCACATAAATTACTTGAATCACCATGTCTTTAAGTTCTGCAAAACTCAGCTGAGTGATCTCTCTCGTTGCACAGCTGTGGTTCCATAGCCTCAGCGAGTCAATGATGGCGACCGACCTAGAACAGGAGCTAAATAGACGGACGCTCGTGTCAAGAAGGGTACACCAGCATGAAGTTCTTGAAATGCAGGGCCTCTCCTGTGTGGGCCGACCATGAAGTCCTGAGACCGATTCCCTGAGGGGGACAAGATCTTGTCTGGGCCTCTGATGAGGAGAGTAACGATATATTTCGGACAAGGAAGCAGGATTTGAATCTCAGGATGGAGCGGACTCTAGACCGGAACATGATGTGAAAAGAGCGCAGAGCCCAGGCTTTCGGTCATGAAGAACCTGTCGCAGGTCGCAGTGATCAAAATTAAGACCTTTTCGATATACGAAACGGCATGAGTACGCAATTTATCGCCCTATTACCTCATAACCTTGTTGAACCCGTCATCTTTGTGTCTCGCCTTTTGCGCCTGCAGTTCGGTATCTTCCTCGTATTGACTGGCCATCAAAGTCGTATCCTACGTACAAAAGGTTCCGATCTCAGGCTAGCTTAGGGCTGCTAAATGACACCTCCGTCTTCCAAACCTTCCGAGTCCAGCAAAAGCGTAATGAATCCTGCGCTTAAGTGTTTCTTGCAGATATTGCGTTGTTCAAACGTCCTCGCAGAAGGTGGTCTTCCCGGACGGCTGCCGACTTCATCTTTGTCAATAGCCACTGCAAGTGCTCGTTCCCCCACCTCAATCATTTGATATATGCCCCTTCAGCTTTCATAAATCTAGTTGTGTCATTCTCGAATAAATTTGAGTGATATATCGAGCGATGGAAACATTGAAGGCGCATGATTGAGGATATGAATGAGTACGTGAAGTGGTGAGTAAGGATGAGGCGCACTAGTACGTGATCAGCCGCTTCGTCTCTGAGACTGTGGTGGCCTGTTTCCGTATCTGCTTCTCTCCGGTTTTGGTAGGTCTTTGGAATAGGTATTATGATCTAATTTGGAATTCCACGAAAAGATCATTCTATAAATATCAGGCATTAAAATGGAAAACACATGTCTTGCAGTAGACAATAGGCTTGGACAGGATATCGGCGTTCTCGAGGTAGTGATGGATTTCACTGTCTAGTGTTCTGAAAGGCTTTGGTGCATGAAGTCTGTTACTTAACTCTTCACATCTGAAATCTGGTTGGCATAGTCTCCTATGAAACATCAGGGTATATGTGGAAGCGGTGGGCCGACAAGGTAATATTGATATAGTCAGCTGAAAAGTGGTAGCAAGCGTTGGAGTATGAGTGTGAGCAACAAATTGGTTAGAGCTCTCTCCTATTGCGTCGAACGAGACGTCGACCTGGCAAGCCCCGCAGGTGTTCCTGGCAAGTCGTCCTAGCAGCAGTCATGTTCAAAAAGGTGGAATCGTGGACTGTCTTGTATTGGAGTGATTGCAACTTCACAGTCGAGTAGTTGGCTCGCTCGAAGCATAGAATATTTCCATACCACTTGGCGAGTGAGATGCAAGCTCCGCCCAATGTATCGAAGGAGCCAATGATGCAACCGACTGCGATGTTTATGTTGTTTGAAGCCGTGTGTATTGTGGACGTTTGTTGTTGTTGCTGTGTCCGGTGGATAAACGTTAGCACCGAGAAGCTGGTGGTGCCAAGGACGTGAAAGCTACATTTGGCGACTTGCAGGCGGGGACGCGAACGCACAAATTTGGGGCCGTGGTAATTTGCAGGGCAGAGCGAAGAATGCTGCGAGGAGACTCGCAGGGAGGTTGGGTGCGCATAGCGGTCCAGAAAAGTGAAGATATCAGCATGTCTCAGAGTTTGCAACAAGCATCGTGATGATCAGGGCGGCTTCCAGAGAGAATGACTGGATATCAAAAGTCATTTCAAGGCCTTGTAAAGGCGCGTCATGTTCCGCTCGGTGGTTGAAAAGACGGCGCTTCAACCGGCGGCTCGTCGAAGTACCGCGTCAATCCGCAAATCATTGGTGCTTGGAGTGCAAGTCGCTTGCCCAATGGTGTCAAATAAGTTCTTTCCATCTCCAGCATCATGTGTCAGCAGGGCTCAGATCCAGCGTACTGCGGTCTTCATCAAGCCGCGAGAAAGGCAGCATCTCAAGGCAAAGTCACTCGGATGAGGAGGAAGAAATATGGCAGAAAATGCAGTCTTGCCCAGCTATGAACCCCCCAAGGCGTCAATTTGTCTAAAAAGGATGGCAATGGGGGTGGCATCAGTGAGGTGCGATTGCCGTTGTTTGCTCAGAGTGGAAAGGTACCCAAGTGCCAAGTTCTCAACAAGAAGGCAGTAGCATGTTTGTCCCTGTCCGTGCCTCTGAACCTGGATCGGCAGGTGTGTTGAGCGACTCGTAACATGGCTGCAGCAAAGAAAAAGTGCGTCCATGAAGGTGGAGCTGCTCGCGCCGGCCCTACACTGTGTGGTAGTGACCTGCGGGGCCGAGGACCGCTTCCAACGCGCTGGAAAATGAACATGCGTTGGTAGACGCGAATTTGGTGGTTGTGGCCGATTGTCTCCCTGGTCATGTTGTTGCGGCCGAAAAATTCCATCCGGGTTAGATCACGTCGCTATTTGATTGAGTCGCTGCCATGCGGGGTAGAGTGGAGTCGCTGCCATTAGTGGAGTCACTGCCATCAGGGGAGTCGCTGCCAGAAGTGGAGTCGCTGCCAGCGGCACTCATACACCTGTACTTAAGGTACACAGTTACTTCCGGTATCCTCCAGAGCTCTCGATACAAAGCAAACACAGGAGCAGTGCCTTTCTATTTTTCCCCCCTTCCCCATCACTCTTTCTTTCCAAAACCATTCACCACCGACTACCTTCCTCGATCAAACCGTCGTAGTTGTGTTGCATCCTGCTACTGATGTCCGTCCGCCCAAGGCGGCCCCGTTTGTCTATTTCCTCTCGTCAGCGATCACTCACGATCTCGGCAATCAATTCCACCCCACCTAAGCATGGATAACTCTAGCGAAGCGGATATCTCTCTTGCGGCCAACGTCAAAGACGCCATCATCGGCTTCGAGCGGGTCGTCACTCTCGAGCCCGAGGACGAATCTGAACACGGCATCTGGGCGGCAAACATCGTCGCCAGCCTTGGAAGCCTAGAGAGAGAAGTCGAGGCCTCCATCGACTTGTCGGACTTACGGGCATCACTGTCGCACGCTACCCAGCAAGTTGTCATTCGAGCCTTGGACGTCGACCATGATCCGGCAACCCTACACACCCGCTCTCCAAACAAGCTAGAACGGTGCTGCCTCACGTGGAAGGTCACACCTGGCACCATTGCCTTCTGGTTTCGCCTAGACCACGGTCGACCGTTCTTCGATGCTCTTGCCGCTTTCGCCAACACGCACCCTCGCTGGCTGGATGCTCTGCACCTTGTCCGACGCTGCTCGACCGACCGTCGTGGAGCGTCTATTATGCAAGCCCGAGACCGTGGCATTACTACGCAAGACCTGAACAAAGCTGCAGGCATGGATGCGCTGCCGCCTGAGTTGCCCAAGCAGCCAGTGCTCCAAGTAATTACGCCCTATCCCCATCTGCACGCTCGAACGCCCTGCTTGTCTCGTCTCCAAGCATGCTGACCGTCTCACTGCCAGCCACAATCAACCCCCGCCCGAAGCGGCAAACACCGCACATCCCTCAATGTCACCACGAGCCAAACACCATCATCAAAAAGGCAACGCCAAAGCTCCTCGACAACGCCACTCCTCCACCAGACTCGCGATACGATGGTATCCCTTGCTCTCGGCGAAGACCTTGGCGCCAACGGAATTGGGGCCTGTGTTGATGCTCTTCTGACGCTCAACAAAGTGAAGCCCACGTTCCACATCTTTGACCCCCGGGAGCCTTTCGAACGATATGCAGAGCAGGATGTTGCAGCTTGCCTTCCGGACAACTTGGTCGTTCTGCTGCGGCTAGAATCCGGCGGCAGCTGGATCGTCGTACATCTCAAACGGTCTGTAGCACATATCGACGTTTGCGATACGGCAGAGCCTGCGACAGACTTAGATGTGATCAAAGCCAGGATTGAGCCCTGGATCAAGGCACGGCAGCTGGTGGATCTTAGGCAGCCGCTAACATACACATCACTGGTATGTCTTCCTTCATCACATCACGTAACGGCCCCATTGATTCAAGAAAATACTAATTCTTAGATGGCAGCCCCGTACCGAACAACGATCCAAGACCAGCAGCGATATCCTTGCCCTTGCCCTTGCAACCTTCATCTGCACGGAGCAGAACGATCTGGCCCAATTTGATGTTGAGGGGACCCAGCGAGATCTGCAGAAGGTTTTGTCTGGTGATTTTGCTCAGCAACTTGGTTTACGGGATGAGATTTCCAATCAGACACAGCCGGAGTCAGACCTGGCCACCGGCAATTCGAGTTCCCAGAACGCCGTCGCCAGACTTGTCGGTGCAGCTTGTCCCGGCCTCCGGCCACTCCTCGACACTGTTCAGTCAACCCTGAAGCACAAGAGCGAAGTTGTTGGCGATGCACTGAAACAAATCAACGAGGATATTGTGCGCAACTTGGGATGTAGCCCAACTGAGTTGTCAGTCAAGATCAACGCACTTGAGGCAATTATTACGAGAGATTTGGCAGAGGATACAACCCTCCTTTCGAAGCAGCGTGCAGCCGACAGCGATGTAGCCTTTTTTGAGGGTATTGTAGACAAAACATCGGCCATAACTGAGCAAACTTCACCGGAGAGACAAAAGTGGATTACAGAGACGGAGAAGAGTCTAGTCAACGCGAGGACGCTTCAAGAATCACTAAAAGTCGAGATCGAGGGCCGACGGGGAGACTTTCGCCGAAACAAAGTCTTGTTGGAGACTGGCCGGGCATACCACACGCTTGTAGCGGACCTGAACGCCACCCAAGTCTACACGAAGCAAGCTCTTGACAGCATTTCAGCGTTGGTCTAGGTATGAATACGGGTGGATGGTCTAGTGGAAATAGGTGATGCAAACCCGGAGGATGTGTCTGAGTTTTAAGGGACGGATGCAGAATAAGCCTGGGAAGAGGCTTGTGTATGAATGGGTCATGAGTGCATGTTTAGCAGATCAGTAGCATGGAAAAGCAAACCGTCATGTGTCAGTCATCTTTCGTTTTGAAAGCCATCTGCGAATACCTTGTTACTCGCCGGTTGGGTCAGGCCTCAGATTGCCCCACGCCGTTCTCACTCTGAAAGGATGGAACTTGGTCTTTCTGCGACCAGTGAGACTTGGAGCCATATGATCGGGACAATGAGTCCAGCCAAGCCACCTCAGACTCACATTCGCGATACGAGGCTGCTATGTTGCCCTTCATGTCAATACAGCGCCCTCGTGATGCTGAATCTCCCCGTGCGCCAGATCTTGCGGTATCTCCCACAAAAGCGGCTGCAACCTTTTCCACTACCGTGGAAAACCTTCCACCTTAAGCTCCCCTCTTATACTTTTGTATACCTACATTCCAAGCACACCTTCTTATTAACACATTGCTAATCTTCCTTCTGTGTCGACGCCATATAATCACCGCTCAAGAAGCTGCCGGCGCCGTCTTACTAATCCACAGTTTCGTCAAAGCCAAGTCAGGGCTTGCTGCAATTCCCTCACTGTCGGACGAAATTCTGACTTGTCCAAATACGCCGCAACTACCGACAGCTGAGCTCTTCGATGGACCTTCAGCTAGACACACTTTAGAGACTGGTCGCCGGCCGCGCTCCTTGGTTTCCCGACTGCGGCGCCATCTTGGAAATGGGTGAATTCCAACGAAGGTGCAAACACCGCCGCAGAGCCCAACTTAACTTAAGAATAACGTCGGCGATCATTTCCCAATCGTATCTTGTATTCTCGTCATCACTGAGACACCAAAGGTGTTTGCAAAAATTGGATCACTCTTGCTGAGACATGTTTTCCACTCAACACCTCACCGTGCAATCCCTTTCACGACGCCCTTGGCTTGTCTCCAACCCGTTTTCATTCTACTGCTGCCTTGAACAAGTTGTCCTTCCCAATGACCTTAGCCTCCGGAAATCCGACGTCAGCCATCGTCAGGAATGGCGCTTTTATTGTCTTCCAGCCAGAATAGTTCTCGCCTTCGCGCTGAAATGATACCTCTGACGGCGTTAGTGTGACAATACCTCATTGAACAATTGCGCCTGGGTTGATTTGCTGCTTATCTTGCCATATCCATTATGAGCTCCAGCTGGTGCAGAAGGCTAGCACAACCAAAGATGTGCCATATGGCATCAATCCGCCTTCGCGGTGACGTTGCCCCGCGCGCGACGCGACGCGACGCGACGCACTCAACAGTGCAAGTATGCCGCCCGGGTGCTTCATGGCCCCAGGACAAGCGTTGCTTGCAGGGAATAGACAGGGCAGCAACAGGGGTTTCAAGCCATGCACCGACCCGGCATCTAGAGCCACATGAATGAACTCCTCGGGCGGAAGTGGCAGTACAGGCACCGCCGGGCCATTCATTTTCTTTTCTTGGGACGATTTCGAAGTGCAAGTTGTTGGCCGGACGGAGTTCTTGTAAGTATGCCGTGGGTAGACTTTGAGACGAGTTAAGATGTTTGGCTCAGGCAGATGCCAACGACCGTTAACTTGAGAACCCTGGTTCAATCTCAAGTGTGTTTTCTGGAGAAAACCATTTCTGTTCGTTTCTTATCGCGGAACCGCCACAGGATAACACAAAATGCACAGCACCGGGCGATGCTCATGGCCATGTCTGGTCTCAGGAGTCGTCATGAAGTGCGGTGTCATTTGCGGGCTCTAGCAAAAACATGAAAAAGAACTTCAACAGGGCACATTCTGTCGAATATGTACTGTGTAACGAGTCTGATCTCGTCATGCGCCCGTCAGAAAACGTCCCATGGTGGTTTCTGACAATCAGTCCGAGGCGATCCATTCTTGTTGCCTAAGAAGCCACCCGCATCCATCATAAGAGACAAAAGAAGGGCAAGATCGAATCCTCAAGGAACAGGATTAGAGGCAATGAATATGATGAGAACCATAATCAGAGTTATCCCGTTGCAGCTTGGTCAAACGTCTCGGGTTATCCGTCCCTAGGAGAGGAGTCTGGTCAAAAAATCACGCAATGGAGCACGTCTAGGACTGAGCTGACACGCTGGGCATTCTTTTAGGCTTCAATGGAAAATTTTCGGCTCTCTTTCTTCCTATTTTCTCCGTCAACACATTCCATAACAGGCAGATACGAGGTGCAGAGGCCGAGAAAATAACTGTATTGGAGGCATGAGTTGACTTACTCTTCCCAATCTCTGCTTACACTTGCAGTGCTTTTGATCTGTCCCTATTCCTAAGACACTACCATGACTCCGACGGCTTCGAGTTGACTCGCAGCAACTTTCCTCCAGGTTTGCTGAGCAGGCATTATTATCTCAGAGCTTCAACCAATCCGACATGCTATCAAGTATTCAGCCATTGCCAACACAAGCCGTACCCAAATCATAAGGCTACATATAATAATGGAAACACCTTCTGGAGAAGTCAAAGAGATCAAACCAATCACAGTGGTACAAGTTCCGGTATCACTCAGTATGCTAGTTTTCGCCAACCTTGCATTGTCTCATTCGCAGCTTTTCCCAGCGTGAGAAATTCCGCTAAGGTGGCTGCGGCGCCGGCGGCTTTTTGCTAATGTAACATGACGCTCTGAGCAAGTGTCTTACTGAACACTGCGAAGTATCAACATTCCCAATGATGGTGAGACTGGCAGAACAATCTCGAGCCGCATCACTCCGGGAATCACTTCTTGACATTATCTTTTCAAACAAAGTACTTTTTCTGATGAGTCCACTCTGCTCGCTGGCCGACCAGAAAGACCTATCTGCTCCTCCCTTCCCGCCGCTCCTTTTCTGCGCAATCGGAGTTAAGGCTGCGCATACCGATCTTCAGCTAGGGTGGCTTCGTTCCATTTGCTATTTCGCCATCCAACAAGCTATAAATCTCGATCATTACGCCTGTACTAGGCTGCGTGGATGCAAAGCCTGCGAACCTTATCTTTTGCAGAAAGATCTCTTGTTGACTGTCATCACGATCCGGTTATCGACAGCACGCTTCCGCAGACAGAGAACACCACGGGCTATGGCTGATCAAAGGGTAAAGCTGATGCCATCGTCCGGCACGGAGTGTGCCGCAGTATTTCGGTCTGAATGAAATGTAGTTTGGAGCGATCTTGACCAGTATTGGCATGGCCTCCGAAGCCACAGGGTTGTCTTGTGTGTTCATTCCAAAAACGACGCTGTTGTCGCTGTTCACCTCTTCCCCGACGCAGTCTCGTATTCTACTGTTGTGCTGCCTCCACCTTGAAAGGAGTTGACTTCGAGGTCAATGAAAAGGGAGGGAAGCGGGGTTCAGTATCTTGAGAAAACTCGTATTGAGCCTTTCATAACTACTCGTGTCAGACGAAAGCGCCGCAAGCCCTGAACAGTCGGCTGTCTCTTTTAAATTTCGTGCATCAGTGAGAATGCGCATTGGGCAGCTTTGTAAATCTCCGGACCAGGTGAGGCACTGGTCCACAGAGATCGTGCATACGTAAACGCCGGTCTTGGATCGACTGCGGACGTCCAGCGCCATCGGGGTACTTGATCGTAGTTTTTAGACATTGAGAAGCGTAGGAGAAGCTCTGAGCAGATCAAGAAGTCAATAGGACGGCAAGGTAAGCCACTTTCGGATGCACCGGTGTTGTTGAGGTTCTGGGCGATATTTTGCAGTCGGTAGTAGGAAGAGGTTTCGATGGATCATGTGCTGAGAAAATCGAGGGATCACGCGCTAAGAAGGCGAATCGCCGATTTGGCCACAGATGGACCCCTTCGGAGGGCGTCGAGGACGGCTATAGTGCTGTGATGAGTGGTACGCAGGCACTTTGCGATGCTGATGTTGGCACTCCGACCCTGCTCACATGAGGAGATTGGCTTCGACGTCTTGCAGACGTGATGAAACCTTTCTACAGGTATCGGCGAGGGACATGCTGACTTTGACCCCGATTCTGTGTTCAACAGCGGGAGTATATGGCCATATTCTCATGACGCTGCCAAGGGGATCCAAGATACTGGCTAACAAGAAAGGCGAGACCTGTGTACGAAGAGAATGGTCTCAGACCCAAAGCTTTATTGCCTGCTGTGAATAAGCTCGCGAAGGCCACTGCCGGGCGGTCTCTGGCCCATGTTGTTATGGAGACGGGAAAGGAGACATGGAACATTCAACGGCTGACATGCCCATAGAACTTGCTTTGGCATCTCTGTTACATACTAAGTAAACTTTTCCAGGTTATCTGATCATCACAAATCTGCGTCAAGCACACATAATTGTGGGGTTCGTAGGCTGGTTCATGTGAAAAGCAGATGCTAGCGGGTCGACGACGACATTTTAGCGTCTTTGCTAGAGCATGATGATAGACGAGACGAGCTGCATGGAGAAAGAGACGCCGTGGGAGACCGTACTTAGGAAGACGGTTAGCAAAGCAGACGCAGTGATGGCAGCGTCGAAAAAAAACCTCGGCTGGAAAAGCATTGCACCCACAGAGCGTTGTAGGTCGTTGGCGGACAGCGCTGGTATCTGTGGGCTTCTTCGTCGCTCGATCGAACTGATGACAAGTTTCCTGACTATCGGCGGTCTCCCTCCTGGCCTTTTGTCTGTCAATCTCAAAGCCCCCTTTTTCGAACATAAATCTGCTTAGAAAACCATGGCAGGCCGTTTTGTGGTTTAGGAACTTTTCGTGGCATGCTGCGGAAAAAGTTCAATTTAAGCCCATTTATAAGTCTTGGAATCACCGAAGATCTTCTCATCCATCATAATTTTGAACCTGCTCTCCATTCAGCACATAGTCGTCCGCATGTGTATGATCACCTCCTGTTTCCCAAGCTCGAGGCGCTTGCAGCAGCAAAAGTCATACACTTCAACCTCGCACTGGATATGAAGCA